TTCACAATAAAGCAATGTGAAAGAAATGTGAATCATCTACAACAAATTCACATTTTGAGACCAAAAAATGGTAATGTAATTAAAAATATACATGTCACATTTTACAACAAAATCATGACCAATGTTTGTATTAATTGTATAAATAACATGAATATGTAACACTTTTCTTGAAATGAAATTTTACCACGGTATCAACACAGACAACTTCAAAAAGACATTTATAAACTCCACGGAAGAAATTCACAAAGACACATGATACAGTTCATGGAAGAACTTCACAGGGACACATGATAAACTTCTTGGTAGAAATTTACAAAGACACAATGGAAGAACTTCACAAAGACACATGATCAAGTTCATGGAAGAACTTCGCAAAGACACATGATAAACTTCACAGAAAAATTCACGAAGACACATGATAAACTTAACATAAGAACTTCACAAAGACACATGATAAACTTCACATAAGAACTTCACAAAGACACATGATAAACTTCACAGAAAAATTCACGAAGACACATGATAAACTTCACAGAAAAATTCACGAAGACACATGATAAACTTCACATAAGAACTTTACAAAGACACATGATAAACTTCACATAAGAACTTCACAAAGACACATGATAAACTTCACATAAGAACTTCACAAAGACACATGATAAACTTCACATAAGAACTTCACAAAGACACATGATAAACTTCACATAAGTACTTCACAAAGACACAACGGAAGAACTTCACAAAGACACATGATTGACTTTAAGAAAGATCATCACAAAGACGCCAATTACGATACTAAAGACAAAAGAAGACAAGATGATGTCAACAGCATATTCTCAAATAAATACCAGGAAGCTTACTAAAAGAACAACACTGTACTACTGTAAGTTTTACTGATTTTATATGTACAGACCCCTTACATCAAAAACAAATTGAAATCATTTCACTTTATATCAGTATACTGAACTACTTGGTGAGATAACAGAGAAGTGTCCATTACAAATCACGTACCATTACTAGTTTCGAAAAAATAATCATTTAAAACACAAAATGAGCGTTTGCACGAAATCTTTAACACAGAAATAGATGACTTTGATCAATTAACAAATAATTAATAGTCAAGTAATAGATGGCGTTTGTTGCTGTCAGTACAATATCACTGTTGACACCTGACACAAGACAAGACAGCTTTGTAACAACCAGAAATAAACAAAAACTCTGCTTTTTTATTTGTTTCCATATCTTACTACAAATGTAGAACAACAATTTGATCATTGACTTATATTAGCAATCCAAAAATCTATCACTGTAACCATAGCAACATAAACACATCATACACAACTCGACAGCTGTTACCATAGCAACATATATACATATACACAACTAGACAGCTGCTACCGTAGTAACATATACACAGATACACAACTAGACAGCTGTTACCATAGCAACATATACACAGATACACAACTCGACAGCAGTAACCCTAACAATACTACAGCTGTTACCATTACAACATATACATATAAAATGTACTTTAAAATGATCACCATGGCAACCAAACCTAATTGCATTGACGTAATTGTAACCACAACAACCAATAACCACAATAACTATGGAAGTCACTGTGTCAATTTCAACACAAAAATCAAATACCACATGGCTTCAACAAAAAACCAGAAAAACAAACGGCTTATCACAGAAGTGTAAACTTAAGGGAGACTGGCTTAATGAGTTAACAAAAACAACCACTGCCACATAGAAACATTATACATACTCTGAATACCACAAAACAGTAATGTCCGTGTACCCTATCAGACTGTCCTCAGACATGTCTAAGCAGGTAAGAGAGCAAGGCCAGATTGGAAATTTCACAAGATATTGTTCAGCAATTAATCAAACTGCTATACAATGAGATTCTAAATTTGATTTGTTACTTTACCATTTTAATTAATAGATTTGTAATTTTACCACTTTAAATTAAAAATTTGTTACTTTACCACTTTAAATTAATAGATTTGTAATTTTACCACTTTAAATTAAAAGATTTGTTATTTTACCACTATAAATTAATAGATTGTGACTTTACCACCATAAATTTATAGATTTGTTATTTTACCACTATAAATTAATAGATTTGTTAATCTGCTGTTATATATCTTTATATTGATTTTCATAACTGTTTTATATAAATGGAACTATAATGATAGATTTGATCAAACATGAAAAATGCAATATTACTAGAATCTTACATGTGCATATCTAATCGGAGATCAGAGCCTAAGAGTGGAGAACAACATAAAGTGCCAGTTCATACTGTTCAATACGAAACCTACGCCTACGACAAACATAAACACTATCTTCCTGAGGGGTCTAGTTACATATGGGTAAGATGTTCATCCCCGATACACGCCACTAGTGAATCTAATCACCAAATAGAATGAGAATATTGAGCTCCACATGTAGTTTCCATGTGTTGTGGCTGATAACACAATCTGTGTATTACATATTTATGGATAATTTAGTACAAATCATTGCCAGTTTAAAATTGGAGGAATTAAAATAACAATCTGATCTATAAATAATTTTACTTAAAACCATTTTTTATTCTAAAGTTACTGAAAAACAGCCCATAATGTCATTATGATATTGCTTACAGTTTCGTTATTAAAGGGGAAATCCCTTTAATAGGAATCCTTTTAATGGAAATCACCTAATAGGAATCCCTTTTATGGGAATCCCTTTAATGATAATCACCTAATAGGAATCCCTTTTATGGGAATACCATAATAGGAATGCTTTTAAATTGGAATACCCTAATAGGAATCCCTTAATCCCCTAATAGGAATCCCTTTAATGGGAATCCCTTTAATAGGAATCCCTTTAATGGGAATCCCCTAATAGGAATCCCTTTAAATATTTTATGAAAGCCAAAGTTTAAGGAATATGTGTCTTAATTTGTATTCTAGCAATATCAATCTGGAAAATTTACATATCAAAGTGCAACGAGGAAGACTTTTGAAACTTAATTTTGCCATTACTATGCATTTAGTTCTCACAAATTTCCATCTTTGTATAATTACGTTTTGAAATGTAAATGTAACTATACATTTAACTGATGATTATAATTTATACCTATACCAAGTAAATCCTCACTTCAAATGATTCACTCTTAACAGGGACATCATCTACGTTGAATTGAAGAGTATGATGTAAACAGAGTGAATAACTAATCCGGTGATATGGGCAATAAATATGGGGTAAATTTTGACTCTAAAATGATTTACTCAAGCTGATAGGTGTGCAAGTGTCGGCCTTGTACTTCATTTAAATCACAATTTTTATGACATTTTTATCCTGAAATCCAGTTCAAACAGCAAAAACAGTTAAAAAGCTCAAAAACCAAACTTATAACAGAAGCACAAATACACAAACAACAGAACACGCTTTAGGTAACAACAACAGAAAGCAACAACACAAATAAGCAAAGACAAAAAAGCAACATTTAAAACAAAAGCAAAAAACATTAACATTTATTTACAACAAGAGAAGTCACCTTTGATCACAGTTACTATGTAAATGCATTGTTCCTGTTGATAAAATGTCACAACCTCAGACTTCGAGTCCACGGACAACGGGTGACAACTGTCAACCCGTTCATGCATCAGATTAATATCACAACAAACATGGTCAAATGTCACTCAGCAAAACACACGCCAACAAATCACACAGGGTACGGAATTAGCACTCCGTTCAAAAACATCAAGTTCACTGATTGCATAGATTAAATATTACATAAATATAGATATTTTTTAAAGAGCTGTTTGCTCTTATTCACCAAAATATAACTGCTTGTTGTGTGTTTGTCAGGTTTGATAAGCAACCTCCCTCTAAACCAGAAGAATCACATCTCAGCTCATCCCAGCTTTGGTCCCAGTTTCACAAACTTTCCTTAACTTAACGAAATTCCATAAGTTTTTCCATAGAAAGCTTGGAGTTATGGAAAAATGTTTCTCTAATGCTAAGCTATAGGAAATTTTAAATTAGGAATTTTAAATTCAGGAATTTTGTCAAGTTAAAGAAAATTCATAAAATTGGGGTCTGGATGTAGAATAGGAAAATCTCCAATGAAATCTGTCACATGTGCTATGATTTACTAGTCTTGAAAATATGTTGGAGGTCAGAGCAAGTCTGATCTACACTATTAAAGGATTTTATAACATTAATATAATAAGCTTATCAAGTTAGTCATTTTCGCCACAGGAAATATCTAGACTACTGACCTCTAAGTATGTCTTTTACATAAAACTCCCATCATTCAAAACTTTTCTGAATCTTTCTAAATAATCAATAATTTGACAACTGTTCTCATCGTCACTTTACCCTTTACACCATTTTAAATACATAATCTACAGTCTTATCTCCACAGATATTCAGTATAAAATGTTCTCTTATACTCCAAAAACAACATGACCTTGACCTCTGAAACTGAGAAGTTTGATTACCTTGACCTCTCCAGGATGAGGTCAAGGATGTATTAGCGTCTGTGATTTCTGTATATAAAGTGCCACAGTTAGATGTGTTACCACAACCGTTAGTTAACAGATTATAAAGAGGCAGCCATTAGTTTGTGTATTATTGTAGTATAGAGTTATACAGTATTGGTATATGTATATTATCTCCAGGATATAAAAGCTCAGTATATATAAATACACTGTCAAGTCCAGAAGAAAGAAGAGGAAAGTCTTACACCACACAACCATCACATCCTCACCACATCATGCACATTCGAACACACTAGAGAATTGTAAGAGGAGAATGTTTGGTTTCCAGAGCAACGCCTGTCAAAGGAGGTCAACGCACACCTATTGACGCCGCTGACGCAACCTTTGTCTTTGTCTTTGGCGTTGGCGTTGGCGTTGCCTTTGACGTTGCCGTCGGCGACGGTTAATGGCATTATAGCGGAGGTAATATTTGTACCAGGGATTGTCAGGCCTTACCGGTGACCAGGGCGCTATGTACCAGCGCCGGCGAGTACTGCACAGGCCGTTGTTACAGAGGCGGCGATTGGGTGGCATGGTGGTCATGTTACACAGGCTATTGGACATGGTCTGGTCGTCAAGCTGACAAAGGACACGACGACTCTGCTCTCCATCCTTACCACATGTCACGGAACACTGGAAAAACAGAGACATTATCTAGTCAACACTCAACAATGACCTTATGTAGGAGGGGGTTTTCTGAAAGGAAATTTCAAGTTATCAGACTTCTTTTGGAGACCATTTTCAAAAATAGTTGCCAATCTGCATAGAAGAACTCCATTTCTATTTTGAAAACCAATCATGACCAAGAGTATTATATGAAAACCCTCGTTTTGCCTACAAAAGGACAGTGGGATGTGTCTGTAATGTTGGAGCATGAAATCAAGGGTTGCAAACAGACATATCTCCAAAGTTTAGGGTTTTAACTAATCAAATTGATGGAAGATATTAATGAATAATTTGATCAAAACTTGTGTTTAGTTATCATCTCTTCCATTTAATGTCCTGGCAGACTTACTGTAAAAGTACATTATTTAATTTCTATAAACCAATTGTTCAGTGTGACTACAGGAATTTCAGGTAAAACTAAAATCCTATAACTGGACAAGTCAATAATCAGCAATCAAGTTTAACAGAGGACAGGTAGATGACACTTACCTGGGACCACATGCCCGTGTTCCAGGTGCCACAGGCCTTGGTCTGGCACCGTTCAATCTCGTCTGGTTTCTGTTTGAGGTCACACTTGTCGCTGGCTCCGAGCTCATCCTGACAAACCACTTGGCGACGTTTCCAACCCGTTCCACAGGTGGACGAACACTGGAAAAACACATTCTTGTTTTAGCTTGTCAGTCATTAGTTAGTCGTTATGTCATTTCAAAATCAGGTAGGCATTTAAATCTAATTTGAATAAACTATCGGGAAAACAATCCATGGAAAAACTGTTTTGATTGATTTATGATAAAATCTATTAAGAAAATTTATGATTGTAACATTTTCAACTTCATCTGTATTTGCCTACAGTATGTATAGATCTTACTTAACCACTAAAACAAACAAAAGTAGATGGGGTTTCTTTTAAACTTATTCCCGTTAAAAATTCAACAATGAACTCCCCATAGAAATTCACCCAATAACCAGCTGAAATCCAGATAGAACATCATCACTAAGAAAACCAACTGGGACTACAAAACACCCACCCAGGAAATCCAGGATACAAACCTGAGTCACACACCCAGATCACTCTCCGCCTGCCTCAAACACATCTATCTCCTTGGTTACCCTACCAGGACATCCAGGATACAAACTAAGGTTGAACACCCAGATCACTCTCCGCATCCCTCAACCAAGTCTATATCTCCTTGGTTACTCTCCCAGGACATCAACCAAGGTCACACACAAAGGTCACACACACAGATCACTCTCTGCGTCCCTCAACCATGTCTATATCCCCTTGGTTAACCACCAAAAAAACATCCAGGATACAAACCTCAGTCACACACCCAGATCACTCTCGGCAACCAAGTCTATATCTCCTTGGCTACTCACTCAGGACATCCACCAAGGTCACACACAAAGGTCATTCAATCAGGTCACTCATCTGGGTCACCCCCTAGGGACATCCATCAAGTACCACAATTAGGACTACTTAACCCCACCCAGTCATCCTGACAATCCGGACAATAGCCTACAACACCTATCCAAGACAGCAACTAAAGACACCCGGTCAAGATACCAACTCAGGACCCCCAGGACTATTTCTGACGCCACACCCTGGGATACATACCTGGCTCCACGGTCCTACCCTCCACTGTGTGGTACCCTCTACGTTGTTGGAGGTGATCACCACAGTTTCGTAAGTATCCTCACTAACAGTTGGACAGTCTCCTCCATTACATGTTCGACTGGTCTCTGGGCGAAGTGTACTGTCACACTGGTCATCATCAATACGACGTCGGTTGACATGGTAACATACAACCTGGCGCGTAGCTGTACCCTCTCCACAGGAGGCACTGCACTGTTGGTCAAATGTTTAACCATTACCAATACAGATATAAAGGGGAACTCTTTTGTGTTTCATTCTCTTTTTAAACAAGTACAATGTGTATCTAATATTTAAGCACAAATCATCAATTCTGGATACAATACTACATATTTTTAAGATTATCATCAGTTATAAGCAGCAAAACAGAAAAACAAATGTAACTGATACAGGGGTAATGTTATTCATGCTCCTATATACTGATGCTTACCTCTCCCCAGTTTCCAGATCGCCACATTCCACATGCAGCTCTGACACAGGTTTCACGAGAGGATGGTTTTTCTTGGTTCCTACAGAGGGCACCATTTTGAATGCGCCCAAACCGGTCCTCACATCTGACATAGCGAAACCTTGTTCCTTTGCCACAAGTTGCCGAACACTGAAATAAATCCAATTAACTTAATAAAATTAATTTGCAACTATATTCCGTCTACTCAATAGCATGACAGAAGGGAGGTAACTCTTACTGTCATGTTTACAAGAAAATAAATACAGGTACTTCAATTTATAACAGAGAATGTGTTCAGGTATAAAAATACAAGTTATCCTTCTACATAACAAGTGTGTACCATAGACACAGACACATGCTGTTACCGCTGACATTTCATCATTGATTTGTACAATAGTTTATAGACTTACCCAGGTCCAGTCGCCAATCTTCCACGAAACGTCTAGTCTGGCCGCAGTCCTTGGCCATGCTCTGGTGGTAGATGGTCGTTTGGTTGTGGTAAGGGACCTCACGGTTGTTGTAGATACCTCGGTTGATGTTGGCACTGTGGTAGTAGAGGTAGTCGGACTTGTAGTAGTTTGTGCCGTTGTCGTTTGTGTAGTGGGTGTGGTCGTTGGCGTGACCGTGGTTGAGGTAGGGGTTGCTATGGTAGTGGTGGTTGTCGTGGTAGTCGTGGTGGTTGGACAAACAGGCAGGTAACATTCACGAGTGTGATAAGGCTTGGACGATGGGTCACACAGTTCCTGTGGTAATATCTCTCCGTGATAATGGCGGCAATCGATACGCCTCTTCGAAACGCCATGTCCGCAAGAAACAGAACACTGCAAAATTTTAATACATAATCACATCACCTGTTATAAAAAGATGTATAGAACCTTTGATGATCCCTGTTTACCAATTCATGTCTGATGCTAATTCAGTTTACATAAAGAATGCATTAAAACAAGTCAATCTAAAAGTTATCTGCATGTTAATTATCATAAAACCGTTATTCATTACTAATATAAGTAAATTTGATCAGGCATCGATACCTAATGGATAAAATTAGTTATAAGTGATCTTCATAACACATATGGATAATATTAGTAGTGAACACGATCTTTAGAACCTCAATTACAAGCCAAAGTAGGTGTGTAACTGGTAAGTTGTTTATAGAAGTTATGTTATCACTAAATATAATCTACTGGGGTTAGAAAATGAATCTATATCAATGTATAAGTCCACTATACATACTAATGTGTATTTAACATAGTCGTATAGATATTACTGTAAGCTAGAGACAGTTTGTAGACATTCCAGTCGACTCTTGTATCTGGCCATCTCCAGACAGTTTAATGGCAATGACAGGGTCACGAGTGGTTGACTCAGGTCACGGTGGTTGACTCGATTTGTGGAGTGTGAAACATGTCTCTAGCCAGATCACTTATCATTATAGCTCAATATCCACAAATCTTGTACAGCGATAAATATCAATGGACAACCCTGGTCTAAACACGTAACGCTGGTGTAAAGTAAGATGTTATCAGCCGTGCACATTGTCAGTACACTTTTCGCCCCTAACAACGGCCGAGGAATGTGTGAAAAGGAACAACTATAAATACAGGCTGATGGATTTATTGACAAGTTGATCACCTGATCACTTGTGACCGTGACCAAGTGGTATTTTCTGTGTACAATCTCGTCGATTTATCAGCCTCTCGTTGACGTATGAGTAATAAACAGTCGTTATCAAATTGTATAAAATGTCAGGATGACAACTGCATTGTAAATAGTAAAAAAGAAAATTCTAGGACATCTGTGTAGGAGTAGCCGATGTCTATGATTCAGAATGTTAATATCTCCTCCGTTATGTCTGTCCTACTGTCCTACCCTTCCGTCTGTCCTACCCTTCCGTCTGTCCTACCCCTACGTCTGTACGGTTATCATTACACAACATAATACCAAAAGTGATTCGTTTTTTATTTCAAAAGAAATGCAGTTAGCCTCTTTTGACAAAATTAGATAATTTATCAATCGTCACAAGTTCTGGGACTACCATGACAACCATAAATGCCAAGAAAATAATTTCACTTAAAAAACACAAGATTTCAGTCTCCATTTGTGATAGAAAATGTCATAAAATATGACTAAACAATTAATGCATTTATGCCATCATAATGACATAAGGTATAGTTTAGAAAACTGTTGGTCCAGAATGCAGAAGGTAAAGTAGGAACAGTGCAATAACTTACATCTCCCCATCTACGCTCCCTCCACTCAGGACACCTCTGACGGTTACACAGCTCACTGCTCACTGGTTTACGCTCGTTCTGACAGTACATGTCATCCACCTTCCTGTCGCCATGGAAACAGTAGACTTTACGATGTCTGGTTCCAGAGCCACAGGTATGAGAGCACTGAAATACAAGTTGTCATACTTAGCTACTTTTGTTGTTCCTACAATTTCTTTCGAATATATATACTTAATGACCAGAATAAGTGCCAAAGTTTTCAACTAGAGAACAGAATGAATGTTAAGAAATACTAATACTTCTCTAAACATACAGAACAGATATAGAGGAATATTAATTTTTGAACGCTGACACATGATTCTATGAGGTATATGGAAATTCTTTCGGAGAATTCAACCTGAAGATGATGAAATCATACTAAACAATCCAATAAGCAAAGGTGTCTGATGACCTATTACTGTCATCTTAGGTCTACAATTCTACCCCTCACCAGAGAGGTGTGACTACCTATCCCTGTCAACAAAATGACATGACAACTTACCCCTGTCCACAAAAATGTGCGCCAGTTGGGGCATGGGTCCTCGTTACATGATCGTGTGATGATGCGCTCTTCCGAGTGACACTCCGTCTCTGGTAGCTCGTTACGACTGATGTCTGTACAGGTGGCTCGCCGCTGTTGTACTCCGCCATCACATGTCTGTGTACACTGTAATTAAAGGAGGTAAGTATGGTACAGCTAAACCTTCAGTGGAGTGAATTAAATGTAAAGGGAGGTAAGTATGGTACAGCTTAACCTCCAGTCGAGTGTATTAAATGTAAAGGGAGGTAAGTATGGTACAGCTTAACAAGGGAGGTAAGTATTGTACAGCTTAACCTCCAGTCGAGTGTATTAAAAGTAAAGGGAGGTAAGTATGGTACAGCTTAACCTTCAGTGGAGTAAATTAAATGTAAAGGGAGGTAAGTATGGTACAGCTTAACCTCCAGTCGAGTGTATTAAATGTAAATGGAGGTAAGTATGGTACAGCTTAACAAGGGAGGTAAGTATTGTACAGCTTAACCTCCAGTCGAGTGTATTAAAAGTAAAGGGAGGTAAGTATGGTACAGCTTAACCTTCAGCGGAGTGTATTAAATGTAAAGGGAGGTAAGTATGGTACAGCTTAACCTCCAGTCGAGTGTATTAAATGCAAAGGGAGGTAAGTATGGTACAGCTTAACCGTCAGTCGAGTGTATTAAAAGTAAAGGGAGGTAAGGATGGTACAGCTTAACCTCCGGTCGAGTGTATTAAAAGTAAAGGGAGGTAAGTATGGTACAGCTTAATCTTCAGTCGAGTGTATTAAATATAAAGGGAGGTAAGTATGGGACAGCCTAACCTTCAGTCGAGTGTATTTAATGGAAAGGGATGTAAGTTTGACAGAATTAATTCTACGGTTGACACTTTATCTGTGCACGCTGTGTCAGTGAAGGGAGGGAAATAAAATAGAGTTCAATCCCCAGTTTACTCTATTTATGTGCAATGATAAAATATAAATTTCACTCTCTGACAATTAAAACATAATAAAAAAAGAAATTTGTCATCCTTTTTATAGAAATATCTCAATGTTTTTACCTCTGACCAGCTAGCATACTGCCAGTGTGTGGGTAAACACTTCCCTGTACAGGACACGACATCCCCGGGGCGGGGTCCAAGGTGGTCACATTCCCTGTCAGCTAGTTCTTCCTCTACCCCCAAAATATTCCGCTTGACACACGCCACATGCTGGACAGCTACCCCCTCTCCACAACGTGTTGAGCACTCCTCCTGTTCGACACGCCATCTGTAAAGTAGGGAGAGGTGCAACATAGTGATAACTATGGATGGTGGGGAGCATGGGGTGTTTAGGAGACGGAAGATATACTACAATCTTATTACTAGTTGTTGGCCTTATTATGCGACAAGTAAAATTCCTCATAAAGATCTGAAGATTTTCCTTCAAATATCATGATGAACGTAACAGCTCACCAGAAATGTGTTCAATGGACATGTTAAAGAACAGAAAACACAATAAAATTAAAGTGAAGGCACCTGTTACATTGTACTGATTAGCCTGGAGATATCTTACCTGAGGTTACAGTTCATGTTGCAAGCTTGGACAACCTTTGGAGGCCGGGGGAGGCGAAGTCGTTCACATTTACGATCCGACACAATGGTATGTTCCCGATCGTCACTCACGCACACCACCTCACGAGTTTGCTCTCCTGTACACAAACATCATAATATATTATATCATAATCATACTAGTTCTTATCTAAACAAAATTCCAATCAGATATAGTACTTCTCTCAAAAAGCACTGTTTTACAGTGAGTTATGGCCCTTTGATTGAAAGTCTTACTGTACACGAGGGTGTAGATCTTCAACTAGATACAAAGTATCGATGTGGATGTGATAGAGACATTGTGTGAGCGGTTGTATAATACTATTATAGCTTAATTTTGCTTGCTTACATATATACTACAATCGCTATTTTTTATAACTATACCAGATTATAGAGGAATACCGATACGGTCATAGACCGGTGTCTTATTTGATAGTTAAAACATGTCTATTTTTCTCATCTCTGTACTATTTGTTAACTCATGTTTAATTAACAATTAAATATTTTGAAAGAGAAACAAGGACATCATGGTCGTCCTACAACTGTGACACCCTAGCATGTCCCACGGTGACGCTATTATCAATATTACTGTAGAACCTTTATTCAGTTTTACCTTCACACAGTCTACTGCAGTCTGACCACCCTCCATGATGCTGGCTCCACACAAAATGGGTTTCTATGGAAACCATGTAGGAGTACTCTAAGTTGGGAGGATAGTGCTTGCCAACAGACAGAACCTGTAGAGGTCACAAAGGTCAAATGTCAAAGGAATATAAGATCATAAAAATGTTAACACACTGTAATTACTGAAAAAGTAGGTAAAAAGCAAGGGTGTTGACCATTTTTTTTTGCTTTTGTTTGTGGATTTTTTTAAAAATACTTTGTTGCTCCTGACAACATAGAGAATGTCAGGGAGGTAGCAATGAAATCTTTTCGAGATCAAAACTAACAATTAGTGTAGAATCAAACCCACTCTTAGTAACAACACAGGTAATTTGAAGACAATGAGTGGTGTATAAAGGTAGTTATGTGAAGTACCGAGTACAGGACAGTTCTCTATCATAAGTCTCAAGTCTTTGAAGATCGTGTATGACAATCCCGATATCTCTATATGACAACACATTGACAGAATCATTCATTCAAAAACTTCGTTGTGTATAAATTTGATTGTATCCGTGACCTTATGTCAACACAGCAAGCTGTCAATCAGGTACAGATAGCGCCACCTAGTGGCAACCCCTGACCTTTCCTTGTGAGCAGCAGTCTCATGAATTATCAATGAACCATTAACCTGAGAGAACATGTTGGAGTGTCGGATTCGGTGAAGTCTTCACTTTTTTACAGGTACTAAAGCATCCTAGGCTGTCGTATTGTTAGCTTGATGGCATGCTACCATGGAAACTATACTGACATTAAATTTTATTTTCCTATGTTTCTATGGACAATCCTTCTTAATTTATTATATAGTAATATCTTGTATTCCAAATTATAAATGTACTATTTCACAACCACCATCAAATGTGGATAATCAATGACCCTGATACAGGTTTAAGCTAACAATATTTCAAACAAACACACTACGGTAACTCTTCAATAAAATTCGCAATCGTGACAATTTTTTTCAATTGATACAGCCACTCTGCTATCACCTTTGCACCAGAAATCTTCAACAACGATCGTTTATCTTTTTCTATGTTAAGACTTTTGTAAACAAAGATGAAAATAAATGCCTGGTAAATCCTATATGAAAAAAATTCAACCAGATTGAATCTAAACAATTTCTTCAACAGATTAGCATTCTTCCTGAAACTTAGTCATTATTAAAATACTTAAGTTTCAGACATCCCACCTTCTTCTATATCAATCTATTACATTGCAGTTGTGCTGTTTTACTCACCATTAGAGTGATGTTTTCGCCTATTGGACCGGTCGAGTTGATCTGTTCCGTGACAGCATCTGACCCACTGTATTCAATGCTGGCACTCTTAACAATAATTTTCCTACGAGCAGTGTTGACCACAAAGTCACCATTCAAGATGAAGTGTCCAGTGGAATTACGAAGAGCTGTGCAAAATAATATAATTCTCACATTTCAAGTGATATTGTTTTAAAGTCCTTTGTACATTCTGTGTGTAAGAGTTGTCTCCCCTCCCCCTTTTGTTATTTGTCATTATACTCGCTGTACAAACTCGTGCTCCCTAAAACACATTCACAAAGGTGTATATATACAGAAATGTTAGAATGACAATGATTCAATTAAACAAATGGGGGTTGATCTTGTCGTAACATTATCCCTATACTAAACTGTAACCTGACTCAGATGACATACGATTGTGTTACGTATATTCACCTAGATAGTTTCCATCCTCCTTAAGGTTCATAAAGCCGCGCTGTTGAATGACAATGTTCTTGGCTCCGGATGGTATCTCTGCCACAAAGTTGTAACCTAGAAGACAGTGGTACACAGAGTTAGACAACCTTATTATTAGGGGGGAGTATGTACTACAAGTATCGGGCTAATAAAGTTGTCCAGACTAGGTCAAATGTCTCCCCTCACCCAACCATTATAATCAGACCCCTGTTGCTGTCAGAACCTTCAGGCTGACAGGGTAAATGACCACACGTTGCCTGTATTAATTACTGTAATTAGTGCCAGTAATTCCGGATCTCTACAAAAGATTTTCTAAAATCTCTGTCTTTATGCCACAATATGGTACAAAAATATGGCTAAACGTGGCAAATTTCACCAAGAATTTTGTTAAGTTCAATTTAATTAAAACAGATTTTAACACACCATATTTAGGGATACGCTTGAACTGGTTCACGATCTCCTCCATAAAACATGAAGTGTTATCTCCGCCACAAATCCCACATCTGTCCAGCTGTAGCCGTGATCCCAGACGATTATCACAGCCAGCACTCTGTAACGAAACAATGGTCAAAGGTCACAGGATCATACAGATATAGGTCAGGATTCCTTGCTATTAGTCACTGATATTATAAACATTTATGACAGGTTAATATAGTATATGACAACATATAAGGTAACCATTCCTAGTATTTTGGTCAAAAATGGATTTAAAATCAATAAATTTGGAAGAAAAACCTAAATAACCAATACACCATGGTTTATGTCTAGTAATTGACTGTTTGTTCCTTATTTTATACAATGACAAATAATGTGGTATTATAATGAGGTTTTTATCAATATTCATTGAGTATGTAAAACAACATAAAGAATATTTTCATCTTCCAGATATCGATTCTGAATCACAGCCTGCTCGAGACTCTGTGATTACATCTCCCTAATTGTGTTTAGGAGTGGCAGGCACACGCCCCTGTATCACACGCACCACTGACAAGTCCCAATTCCTCCGATACTATTGATTTTACGTTCATGGTTCAAGGACAAAAGCAATGAGTCTGACTGCCCTCATGATTAGTATCACCTCAATCTCATTTCATGTCCAAAGAAGGTCAATAAAACACAGAAACAGGCTAAGTATTTGCACGCAGTCATCTAAACATTGACTCGTATATCACCCGGACAATCAGATTTTATACAGCAATCAACTTTTTTATCATTTGAATGAGCAATGAGATTCATTTTTCATTTTCATTTCTCTCCTCCCCTCTCATAACTTGTTGTCCTTTACCCTAAACAGGCACCTAGCCTAATCAAAATCTTTTCCTATTTTGTAAACAAATACCTCAATCAATCTCTTTTCATCTATTTTTTTTGTACAAATTGAGCTCTTAGAGAACCATTTTGTGTCACTCAGGTTACTGTGTTTAACCTTTACCTTGCACTTGCCATTGACACAGATGTCGTGCGTCTTTGGTCCACACTTGGTGCCGTCCAGAACCTTGTCTGCCAGGAGATAGTAGGCACCGCTTCCCGACGGTCGACAGTACAACTTACAGGCATCCTTTAGACGAACTGCCACAAAAAAATACATATGTTAACATTTCCTCTGCAAGTCCCTACACAACCAAAACATTTTACTAAATGGAAGCCAACAAGAGTTTTCTGGAATACTGAGATCAACAAATCCAGATCAATGCAGTTCTACCATGTACAATGGTGGGTGAATGAGTGTAATCCAGACCCTTCCCTAACTCTTACTTACTTCCGGCATATTTGGGGACCCAGCGGACATTTGATGGAAGGCCCCGATGTTTGTGAGAATTATCATGGCTGGAGCATTGAATATCCCTGAAGTCTGGAGTGTCATCTCCGCACGGCTATAACACAACGAAAAATAAATAATAATCATTATGGCGACCTCTGACAGATGTTAACATGGTATTACATGACATCTACCAGATTGTATCTTGTATGAAACAACCTCTAAATAGATCTTATCTCATATGGCAGTACTAACCTTGTTATGACATGACCTTTAACATGACCTCTGACAGATCTTACCTTGGTAATACAGGACCTCTGACAGATCTTACCTTGGTATTACAGGACCTGTAGCGGACCCTCCTTCCTGTGCAGTATTTGCCTCCGTTGGCTGGGCTGTTGGGAAACAATATATTATGGGGTTTTATTCAGGTTTTAAAGAATAAACTACTCTTACTTCAATCAATTTGTTCAATTACAGTGACCTTCTCTATAATTAATTATATCTCCTATTGTCTTGTCTATGACAGTACAGGGATTCAAGTTACTTCAGTTTTATCACATCAACCCTGGAGAAATATTTACATTGGAAATATAATAGTGACCTACTCATACTAAGATATAATAGTGACCTACTTATACTAAGATATAACAGTGACCTACTTATACTAAGATATAATAGTGACCTATTTATACTTAGATATAATAGTGACCTACTTATACTAAGATATAATAGTGACCTACATTGTACTTATACTAAGATATAACAGTGACCTACTTATACTAAGATATAATAGCGACCTTCTTATACAAAGATATAATAGTGACCTACTTATACTAAGATATTAAAGTGACCTACTTATACTAAGATAAAATAGTGACCTACTTATACTAAGATATAATAGTGACCTACTTATACTAAGATATAACAGTGACCTACTTATACTAAGATATAATAGTGACCTACTTATACTTAGATATAATAGTGACCTACTTATACTAAGATATAAAAGCGACCTATACTAAGATATAATAGTGACCTACTTATACTTAGAAATAATAGTGACTTACTTATACTAAGATATAAAAGTGACCTACTTATACTAAGATATAAAAATGACCTACTTATACTAAGATGTAACAGTGACCTACTTATTCTTAGATATAATAGTGACCTACATTGTACTTATACTAAGATCTAAAAATGACCTACTTATACTAAGATCTAAAAATGACCTACTTATATTAAGATATAACAGTGACCTTCTTATTCTTAGATATAATAGTGAACTACTTATACTAAGATCTAAAAATGACCTACTTATACTAAAATATAACAGCGACCTACTTACATTTTGATGCTATAGGGACCTACTTATACTAAGATCTAAAAATGACCTACTTATATTAAGATATAACAGTGACCTTCTTATTCTTAGATATAATAGTGACCTACTGGTACTTAGAAATAATAGTGACTTACTTATACTAAGATATAACAGTGACCTACTTATACTAAGATATAACAGCGACCTACTTACACTGGGTTGTTACACTGTCGTATGCCTTTCTTGACACCGCCTGCACATGTCCTTGAGCATTCTCCATAGTCTTCCCAGCGGCCCCATCCTCCGTTGATCGACACCAGAGGGCGCTCTGCTCGGCATACACCATGTCTACACCACTATAACATATAATTATTTTATTGCCTTAATGGCTTTTGTTTAGTAAAAATTTGTTTAAAAAACGCATATCTATTTTCCGACTATTTTCAAAGCAATTTGATATGTAAATGTTACATAGGGGGGTCAGATCTCTGTTTCTTTTCACCTTTGAAAGATAACTATAAAACATAAATATATTATGATGACTAAATGAAGAACGAGACATTCAGTAGTGATGTATACATGAACTACATAGAAAAGATTTTGACGTGATTAAGATGATTTTACCGAGGAGAACGTAGATGTTATGAGGTGACTTGGTAGATAACTTGGTATTGAAGTCGACGGTGAATCGTATCCCCCCCAGTAAACCCTTGACCTCTCTATTGGTATTTCTTATTAAAACAATGTAAATCTCGCTAAATCATCAACAGTATTAAGTGATATAGGGGTGAGAAGACAAACAGATAGGAACCTAACACAACAATAGTTCTGTAGGTACAGATGATAACCCGGATAAGATAGGGACCAACAATGTATGGTATTTACACCCCGGAGACTTGACCAGTGTCCGCAGAGTCAACAGATCCTACAAGTGACCACAAGTTCTTCTTTCTCTACAAGTGACCAGAGGTCCTAAACTCATACAACGTTGAATCATCTTGGCCGAGGGATGTTCCATACCAAAATTTAAGGAGTAGTCTTTTTATACAATACCTAATTCTATATATCCAGGGATATGGTCTGTGCTAATTTAGGTCAAAATCCTTTCATTTGCAATAGAGTAGTAAGTCTTGAGATTCCTCCCTATTCCCCATTGTGGGCCAACTCCTCTGCCCGAAGTATGATCAAGCCATTCAAATGTACAAAATTAACTTCTCCCGACTCAGAGATGATTCAAGCTAAGTAGTTCGAAATCCCTTCACTTGTGCTTAAGGAGAAGTATTTCATACATTAACCCTTATTTCCCATTTTGAGATCTCCCCTCCTAAACAAATATAAAAGGTGTAAGACAAGTGATATACAGTGGAAAACATCTTATTTTTCCATTTCCACACCTGTAGTACATTTCTGCTGCATTTAAGCTTCATCCTCAATTAATACACAAATAGGGGTAATAACTACAGAAATAAAGAAAATAGTCATGCTGAGGAAAAAACGTCTCACTTTCACTGCTATTTCCAGTAGTTCAGCTGTATCTTGCCTGCTTTCTATGGAAATTTACCTGTATCTTGCCTACTTTCTATGGAAATTTACCTGTATCTTGCCTACTTTCTATGGAAATTTACTGTATCTTGCCATTTAGCTGTATCTTCCCTACTTACTATGGTAATTTAGCTGTATCTTGCCTACTTTCTATGGAAATTTACCTGTATCTTGCCATTTAGCTGTATCTTGCCATATACCTGTATCTTGCCTACTTACTATGGTAATTTAACTGTCATCTTCCCCTGTTATTCTGCATTATTTCAGCAGGATCCTCTATGCTTATTTATTGTATTTCAACTGTCTCCTCACTATCTATGGTATGTAAGCCGCATGCAGTATTATTGTAAATACAAGGTGAATGAAAGTGATGTGTAGGTGCTGAGGATGCAGTGGGGGTGGTCACTGTTATCAGTGGAAATGTCAGACCCTGATAGATGATAGTGCTACACATGTTAGCACCAGTGAATCTGTGTACACAGATAGCAGTCTGATAACCTGCTGTAATCTGTCGGCCTCCACAACCTCCACATACCTGTCACCAGCTACTTACTCTAACATTCCAGGTCGAAAACTTAAATCTCTTCATGAATATCATTGTTTTTCTTGTCAATTAAAACTTGTAAAATTCCCCTAGCCTTTTGGAATATCATGATTTGACTATAAAATCAGGGCAGCTGTCAATATCTCCCCAAGTCACGCCACATCACATCAATACACATCCCATTAATCAATCAAATGTAAATTAGAATAATAAATTCCACCTACAACCCTACAGATCATATAAACCAAAGTGTCACTGTCACATTTAATCTTCAACTTATCACTTACAACCACAAACTCATCCCTTTCTGTTCTCCAATATGTATCAAACACTCATCATACCATGATTGGTCCCTCGTATCAAACACTCATCATACCATGATTGGTCCCTCATACACGTCTCATTTCAATAGAACACCTTACATGCATCATGCCTGCACAAATAGTTGAGATTGATTGAAGAACTCCTAACATGTCTTGTGAAAGGTAATACAGAACTTCCCATGCCTTGTATCACCATGTTTCCGTATGGTTAAACACAGAAACCCTATCTGTCTCACTGCATTCAGATACACCAGCATTTGCTGTCCTAGACCCTAACCTTGCTTTGCTCTTAATAATTCTTTCCTTCACATTGTTTTTCTCTTAATACCGATCCCTTCCTCACTTTACTATTGCAGTAAATAAATACTATTCCTTCACCTTTCTTACAATCTAATGGTCTTCACCTTTCTTACAATCTAACGGTCTTCAACTTTCTTACAATCTAATGGTCTTCACCTTTCTAATACTCTACATACATATTCCTCCCTCTCCTTGCAATTGCTATAAACAAGATCCCTACTGAATTTTGTTTTTTACACTAGATCCCTGCCCCACCTTGCTTTTGCTCACAATAAAAGACCCTCCCTTGCCTTACTCTGGTTCTAAACAAGGACTCCTCCATCGTTTATTTTCACACTAAATAAATACCCCCATCTTACCTTGTTGTTCCCACAGGAAGTACCGTCTGCCCAGGGCATGTGTAGGGTTCTACAGCCCTTCCTCTTGTTCCTGCTGTCTGTGCACCACAGCCTCTTGCATTCTGTTTCAAGCTGAAGGAAACGGTATTTGAAATTGTAGATTAACAATGACTGATATATTTGTACATAATGCTCAAAATGAGGATATTTTCATGGTATTCAACACATTTTAACAGCATTTCAATGTCACTCATTTTATCGATGCAACATTGAAGTTGGTGTAGACACCTTGTTCATTCTTAACTTATTGAAGACACTTTACTCACCTTATCATAGGGACATTTTTTGTAGCCACGCCCAAACATGAGTTCACACTGTGTGTTTATATCGTACATCTGGCCCGGAGTATTAGCCTGGACACGGGATAAAGGGAAGCGACTCCGCCTGCGAGGTCTGTCCAGCAGACACTCGGTGGAACCTGCACTGCACAATCAAAAGAGCATGTTGTTAGGCAACTGTGTGTGGACATTTGGTTTGGACACTCTGTTTGGACATTGGTTTGGACATTTGGTTTGGACACTCTGTTTGGACATTGGCTTGGACATTTGGTTTGGACATTCTGTTTGGACATTGGCTTGGACATTTCGTTTGGACAATCTGTTTGGACATTGGTTTGGACATTTGGTTTGGACACTCTGTTTGGACATTGGCTTGGACATCTTTTGGGGACATTTCATTCCAACATTTTTAAAAATAACATAAATTTTATTTGACTTGTGTCAAACAACCCCATCTTAAAAACTATAATGTCACATCTTTCTGTCCCAAATATGAATCATTGTAATAATTCAAAAGTCATTTTACATTATTGTGTTGACAGAGATGACCAAAATATTGTAACTTGTATATATTCACGGGAGTGATATGCTGTATCTGGCTATGGCAGCAACATTGTGATATGGTACTTACTCAATAAAGCGTGTAAGCAGGACAGCACTGCACCGAGACCACGACCACGCACTCGTGTTGTGATCAAGGGTTGGGGACATCACATGATCTGTTTTGTCCTTCAGGTAGTCTTTGCATTTTGAATTATCATCATGAGGTAAATTAAATCTGTGAAGAAAAAAACAAAGATGGATACATTTGCTGTGATATGTTAAGGCTACGATATTCTACTCTCACCAGTCTGATGATTCTACCGATGTTCTGATGTTCAATCTAATTGGTAAAAAGATCTGTAATCTAACATGTCGGGAACTGTTTAAACTTATTTTGAACATAACCTTTGATAATTTTGGACATCATAATAGACACCTTTTTCTTCTTTAAAAATTATGAGTCAGCTCCTTAAATGACAAAGTTATCATTAATGAGATATAATAGAAACTTGATTACTGGTGACAATATTAAAGTACGGGTCATACTGTACAAAGGTTCTGTTTCCGTCAAACAAATTTTCTTTAGAGCAAATCTGTCATGTTGTTGGACACATAAACTAAATAATACTGACTTCAATCATTTCAAAGGTCATCTAAATTGGAAATATCAGCATGTATTGTGTTTTAATTGCGATTTAATCCGTCTTTAAATGTTTCATTGTATTAAATCTCTTTAGAAATTTAATATTGAACCTTTTTCAATACTGATCGCATTCCTGGACGGTTACCCACATTGTGTTGGTCGGAGTCCTATGAGGATGGATTCGGGGTGACATAATGGGTGGTATCGTAGAACAGGAGAGGGAGGAGCCGTGGCGGGGACTAGTGGCAGTGTGTGCGGACTCTACCCCCCTGGGGAAGTCAACATCCACATACACACCTGTATTGGTAAGGTAAACAGCGGGGCCGGGGACAAAGGGGAGGCGCTGATCTTTACAGGTGTAAGGTAAACACATGGGTGGTGGACAATGGACGCTGGTCTAGTAGTACTTGGAATATGTCCTCAGGTGAACCAATGGAGGCCAGGTAGTGATGACAATAATACCTTTATATCTCTGATTCAATTAATCAGTATCTTCACATTCCTGGACACCGATGTACTATTTGTTAGCTTCAAACAGTTTTCTAAAAAACTTCATTCATTGAATGATTTTTATGTAATTTCTTTTATCATCGCATTACCAGTAAAAGGAATCTTATCAATTTCAACTTATTTTTTTGAAAAACAGGAATTTCTGTAAATCCAGTGCTATTTTAGTATATTAGGAACTATGTTTTATCCTCTACCACAGGTAGATATTACCACATTGGAGTCGGGTGTGTGGCCGATGTAAAGATAAGGAACAGCCCAATGATGATACCTGTGTTAGCAGTCCTGTAATGAATCACCAAACAGGAATTCGGCTTAACCTCCTGAGGTGACAGAGATAACCAGATACTGGACAGAAAGGAATCTGGTCACTAGCACATATAACTGTCCTGACCTCTCCCTTAGTGCTGACAGTGCCCCTCCTGAGCCCCAGTGTTAGCAGTACCCCTCTGACTCCCATCCACCACCCTCAACCCCACACACAGTACTGGTGATTGATACTACTGATGCCCCCTCCAATCTTAGTGCTGACAGTGCCCCTCCTGAACCCCAGTGTTAGCAGTACCCATCTGACTCCCATCCAATACCCTCAACCCCACACACAGTACTGGTGATTGATACTACTGATGCCGCTCCCATCTTAGTGCTGACAGTGCCCCTCCTGACCCCCAGTGTTAGCAGGACCCCTCTGACTCCCATCCACTACCCTCAACCCCACACACAGTACTGGTAATTGATGCCACTGATGCCCCTCCCATCTTAGTGCTGACAGTGCCCCTCCTGAGCCCCAGTGTTAGCAGTACCCATCTGACTCCCGTCCAATACCCTCAACCCCACACACAGTACTGGTAATTGATGCCACTGATGCCCCTCCCATCTTAGTGCTGACAGTTCCCCTCCTGAACCCCAGTGTTAGCAGTACCCCTCTGACTTCCATCCACCACCCTCAACCCCACACACAGTACCGGTGATTGATACTACTGATGCCCCCTCCAATCTTAGTGCTGACAGTGCCCACCCTGAACCCCAGTGTTAGCAGTACCCATCTGACTCCCATCCAATACCCTCAACCCCACACACAGTACTGGTAATTGATGCCACTGATGCCCCTCCCATCTTAGTGCTGACAGTGCCCCTCCTGAACCCCAGTGTTAGCAGTACCCATCTGACTTCCATCCAATACCCTCAACCCCACACACAGTACTGGTAATTGATGCCACTGATGCCCCTCCCATCTTAGTGCTGACAGAGTACCTGATGCCCCGTTCCCCTAGTGTGGCACACATTGCATGGGATCATACTGCCTCATCTATCTCTATAATAACCACTTAAGCCAAATAGTACAAGACCAATGGTCAAATTTAAACGCTGGTCAAACGCCAAGCGTCAAAGGACAACGATCTACAAACATCATGTATGAAATGTAGACTCCCTAGTTTGTCTGACCTTATAAAAGACAACCGGTGCAATCTAGAGTGTTTATGGACTGGATGTCTAACACTTGATAAAGTCTGTGTATCCTAATATTGTTGATGTGCACCACAACTAGTACTGAATAAGAAGTGTACGTTTACACATGTGCAATAATGCTGTCATTGTTCCAAAGATGTTGTCATGGTAACTATTAGGGAAAAAAGGTCGCAAGCTTCAAATGACAACGTTGTTGTTGGTACAGATAGGTGGTACACACTTTCTACTTCTACTTACACATGTCCAAGTTCATGAGCAATTGTATAGGATGCACTGATACCATTGTCTTCTATAATGGAACAGCTTCGTAATGGATCACAAACGGTTCCTAACTCTGCTAAACCTGAAACAAAATAATAACATTGTATAGCTTCTATGACTCATACTTCAGGAACACGGGTAAAAAAAAAACAGAATTTGATGTTAACTGACTCAGATACATATATTATTAATGATATACAATGTCATTTGGCTTCAGAAATGTGGTTATGTAAACTTTACGAATGGTAAGTGACAAAGCCATAGTCGAACATGGGAAAATCACAGGTAGCAGTAGAATTTATACAGGAATTCATTTGAAAATTAAAAATATTGAATATTTTCGGATGTCTCCTGCAGTAACCAGTGGAAGTGTTCGGCGTTGACCTTGACCAAGGTTACGATATGACCTAGAAGGAATCATCTGTATCATATAATACTTTTGGCCTACTACAGCGGTCAGTTTACGTGTCATAACCTCCAGAATACAATAGCAGCCATTTATAAGGAATGTCACGTCACTGGTCGGTATATATAAAATAATAACAACAAATCTTCAACATATAGTCTGAATTAGCAATGGAACAATTTTTCATTTAATTTCACATTATGCAACATTTCTCATGACGAACACTTACATTGTTGGCCTTTTGAAAAATCAACATATGATTATATTTAGGATGTCAAACAGGTTAAACACACTGTGGAGCACACAAGGCTTTGAAGGACATGTTTAGGGACTGGACGCCAATGACCATCGTAGGGTCCAGTTACCCGAGTCAACAACTGCTGAGCCATTGAGGTGTTAAGAGAGACTGGAAACTGTTGATATAGTAAACATGCTTCTGTGTTACGAGGTATCCAATGTGCCACGCTCCGGCTGTGTGTTGCTGTAACTTCTACCCCCTGTACCCGAGACAGAATCTGATTAACTCCTCCGCGCCCTACTATACTCCTGACCTATACACAGAGGACAGCTACCTCTAACTTACAACATCCAATATATCCCAGGTTCAATTCACTGATCATCGTCCATGTAGTCTTTACAGTACTGTAATCTAAGGCAGTTCATTTTCTATCACAAGCCTTCCTCAGGAACCTCTGTATCCTAACTGTTCCTCTGTACCCCTTTAATAAACCCTACCCTGTACCCTCTGTACATACCCCCAACCTTGTACTGTCTCAGTCAACCTGAATCTCCGTACCCCGTTACTACCCTCCTAATGCTGTATATAAATAGAGAAGGGAGAAAGGAAATAAGAAATAAAAGCTTCAGAAGGGACAGACAGACATAAAAGTTGAAACTATTGTATATAATACACTGGTGAGAATTCATATCTGGAGTCTCTTAGACATCACTACAACAGCTAGAATATATCATATAAAAAAGTACAAAGATTCTGTACAGCTACAGTATTGCCAGTGTTGGAGGGACGTGGAGGAGGAAAGCTGTACCATCTTGTAACACAGATGTTTAACCAAGTAGTCCAGGTAAACAAACGCCTATAAACACTTCATCCATCAAAGTATCAAGTACGTCATCTTAAGTCAGAAGTCTCGTAACAGCACACAGACCCTCAGTGCAATAGGACAAGTACGGTTATCTTGTTCCGTAATGTAGATGATATCATCATTTTAGCGTCACCTTCGGCCTTCGGATAACTACGCTGTGACCAGACACTTATTTGCATTGTGACATATGGAGTATGGAAACTGCCAAGAAATTCTTGAAACCTATAGTTCATACCCAGAAAAGTCCTATGGATTGACTGATGACTTTAAAACTCAATCATTATTTTTTATAATTGGTTTAAAAATTTTGAAGATCAACATTAGAGACCTAAGAAAATATTGGATTCATTCAAAAATGTCAATTTTAGTTTTGCATTCATATTTAACATCAGGAACTGCAATAACAAGGAAGAAAAATAAATGTTTTAACTCTCTCATTGTAGATGACCTTTGCCTTCAACACTTGACCTTTGACTCGAACACTTGACCCTGGATGCTTTTTATCAATAATCTGTCAGGTTTACTTTTGACATTCATAGGATATGAAAACCATTGGGACCGACAGAAGAATGGGCCAGCGTTTTTACATGTTCTGTACTTGAATGTTTTTTTGTTTTTCTGGACATTGCTACAGAAAGGCTGGACATATGATGACCATACAGTGACTTTGTAGGGTATCAAGTTACAGGTCACCTGGTCAACCATCTGATGGTCAACTGGTGTAGTAATGTTCAGCTGCCAACAGTGAAAGTTGCCATTGTTAAATATGAAGAGAACTTCAGTTGTTCTGTGTCCTGTACGGAACTCCGGACCCTCAAAGGGGAGTATTGGGGGGTTTGGAAAATATGGTTTATTACCATCTCAATCAACATTAACATGGCTCTACAAATAAAGCCAGGAAACCTCAGACATCAAACAGACAGAGTGCAGCACACATCCAATTCTCCCCAGTCTACTGTATTCATAGGCATCAAATAAAAAAACATGGGTTGGCAGTAAGTTTAAAACTGGTGTCATCTTGTTCAGATATCTTTTACCAATAAAATGTGATTATTTTAAGAAGAATAAGTAATTTTAGGCACCACACATTGCTTTTGATGATAAAATCCTACAGCAATTTATCACTTTAAAGTGGGGAATAACTGTTTTAATGTAAGTCTTTCTAACGGAGAGGTGTCTATGTACTCGCTCTGGACTGAGAAGTAGAGCTGATGGTAGATAGGGTCCGCTCAAGGTCAAAGGTCAAGTGTGAATGTCAAGTTTGGATTAGATAGTGCTACATGCTGTTTGTCTGGGTTGTAACTACACCGAGTTTATAAAGAAAATCCCCAGACCTAGAGAGACATTCGCCCAAAGAAACACAAAGATTACCTATTTAACATGAATTGTTTTATGGGGGGTTTTCAGACACATATTAAAGACGTTACGTCAGCAAACCTATCAGGTAAGTACAGTTCAGAACTTCACCTATCCATACCTACATGACTGACAACCCTAATACAAGTCAACACTACACAGAACAATGGAACAGAAAACAAAGAATTTCTCTATGAACTATGTAGGATACAGATATAAACACAGACAGGTTACAGCCAGACCTGGCGTGGGAGATCTAACCCTCTTGAGAGACCACTTGTTAGTGAAAGACAGCAATCCATGTCCCTCAACTCTATACTGCTCTGTACCAGCCGTCAGGAGACAATAAGTGGTTTCTGAAGTCTATGATGCTTTCAACTGAACTTTGCTATTGTATAACAAAGTTTCTGTCTAAAGGGACCACCTTTTTCTATCAGATTTTTCTCTCATGGTAGGTGGTCTACTAAAAGTTTGGTACGGTATATTAGAGCCTGTCTACAGAGACCACTTTTGATCACCTATCATGGTAGGTGGTCTACTAAAAGTTTGGTACGGTATATTAGAGCCTGTCTACAGAGACCACTTTTGATCACCCCTCATGGTAGGTGGTCTACTAGAAGTTGGGTACAGTATATTATAGCTTGTCCACAGAGACCACTTTTGATCACCCCTCATGGTAGGTGGTCTACTAGAAGTTAGGTACAGTATATTATCAGAGTCTGTCTACAGAGACCACTGTTGATCACCCCTCATGGTAGATGGTCTACTAGAAGTTGGGTACAGTTTATTAGAGCCTGTCCACAGAGACCACTTTTGATCACCCCTCATGGTAGGTGGTCTACTAGAAGTTGGGTACAGTATATCATCAGAGCCTGTCCACAGAGACCACTTTTGATCACCCCTCATGGTAGTTGGTATACTAGAAGTTGGGTACAGTATATTATCAGAGCCTGTCTACAGAGACCACTTTTGATCACCTATCACGGTAGGTGGTCTACTAGAAGTTGGGTACAGTATATTATAGCTTGTCCACAGAGACCACTTTTGATCACCCCTCATGGTAGTTGGTATACTAGAAGTTGGGTACAGTATATTATCAGAGCCTGTCTACAGAGACCACTTTTGATCACCTCTCATGGTAGGTGGTCTACTAGAAGTTGGGTACAGTTTATTAGAGCCTGTCCACAGAGACCACTTATGATCACCCCTCATGGTAGGTGGTCTACTAGAAGTTTGGTACAGTATATTAGAGCCTGTCTACAGAGACCACTTTTGATCACCTATCACGGTAGGTGGTCTACTAGAAGTTGGGTACAGTATATTATCAGAGCCTGTCTACAGAGACCACTTTTGATCACCTATCATGGTAGGTGGTCTACTAGAAGTTGGGTACAGTTTATTATCAGAGTCTGTCTACAAAGACCACTTTTGATCACCCCTCATGGTAGGTGGTCTACTAGAAGTTTGGTACAGTATATTAGAGCCTGTCTACAGAGACCACTTTTGATCACCCCTCATGGTAGGTGGTCTACTAGAAGTTGGGTACAGTATATTATCAGAGCCTGTCTACAGAGACCACTTTTGATCACCTATCATGGTAGGTGGTCTACTAGAAGTTGGGTACAGTATATCATCAGAGCCTGTCCACAGAGACCACTTTTGATCACCTATCATGGTAGGTGGTCTACTAGAAGTTGGGTACAGTATATCATCAGAGCCTGCCTAAATGGACCGCTTTTTCTATCAGTGCAAGATTATACTCCTAGAGATGAGGTCTCCCATGACATGATCTACTGTGGTTGTTAGCTGAGAATACAGGTTACTGTAACTAAAATATATCCCTCAAGGGAGGTAGCTTCCCAAGATCCCCTTGGTCCATCAAATCTGCGATTGTCTTACCAAACATTCTACAGTTGAAAAGGTCAGGACTTACAGGTTTAGAATAAAAACCAATGTCTGGTCATAATACATAAACAGTCAAGGATTCTACAATTTCAGAAACCTCAGATAACAAATTCTGATAAAAACAATAATTAACAAAGTGACCTGCAAATGTTTGCCAGGATATTAATTGGTAATCCAATGTACATGTATTAACATAAGTATTAACAGTCTACGATATTACACCATTATCTCCTGAAGACATCGGACATATTGATATACTGGTCACCGGGGGTTACGTCTGGTCACTGGGGGTTACGTCTGGTCACTGGGGGTTACATCTGTATAAAGTACAGGGGATTCCCGCTGGACCGTGTTCAACGACCTGACAACATCAGACTGCACAGGAATCTTACTGTTTTATTGTGTTGAAAAAACATGGATCAAAGAGGAATTACTGAAACAAGACAGCAATCTAGACTCCTGTATGTAGTCGTCAGGTTTGTTATAAAATTTCAAGGGAGGTATTTTCCCGATGCAAACACATGTTATGCTGATCTGGAAGATCTATTTTGAGAAATCTGTATCAAGAAATGATAATAAATATCTAACTCTACTTACCTAAAGTATCACATTTTTGAGGGGATCTACAGATATCCTGTCTGAAAATAAACAGAGAAAATCCCGTTAGTTGTGCCGCCGTACACGATAGCATCACATGGCCAACATGAATGGAGGCTACGGTGCTGGCTCGTAGTTATCATCAAACCTACACGATTCTATACCAATGGGCAAAACCAGACAAACCATAGATATTTCCAATGATCAAAAAGGCGATAATGATGAAATTCAAAATCATGCAAATTATGTCTTAACACTTAAGATATTAGTCTGTGTATTACGGTTGATTTGTAGATAAGACAAATTATAATCAGACAAACCATGGTTAAAAGATTCTTAAAGATAACAAACATGTATGTATTACATGATGTTCAGAGAGATTCCCTATACAATTAAATTAATACTATTCTACAGGTTAGTGTAAAGCAGGAATGAATGAAGTGATGAGAATGAAGCAAGGTATGATGAGGCCAATGAGGTGAGGGGTGTGGTGATTATGACGTGGAGAGGGGGGGGGGGGGGGGGGGGGGGGGGGGGGGGGGGGGGGGGGGGGGGGGCAGGATGACACAAGGAAGATGAGATAACTGCAAAAGAAGACAGTTAAGTAACATGTGATTTTTTCTGTGACTGTTATGCGGAATTTCTTTGAGTGACTGCTTATATTGTGACTTGGGAGTTAATACTCATCACTTTATAGTCAGACCAGGCCCTCAGAGACGTGGTCGTTTGTTAAGATTTACACCCGATTGTCTTCAGATTTGTGTACATTTTTGCCATGAATTGGTCAGTAGCTCATTCAAGGGGTAAATAAAAACTTCATCAGGACCAGGTGTGTTGTTAGTGGACTGGTCAGTGGTTGGTAGAGTGTTTATCAGGTTGACCTTGGGGTGACCTTATTGCACTAGCTCTTCACAGTACCCTAAACATAGCCCTTCACAGTAACCTAAACATAGCCCTTCACAGTACCCTAAACATAGCCCTTCACAGTACCCTAAACATAGCCCTTCACAGTACCCTAAACATAGCCCTTCACAGTACCCTAAACATAGCCCTTCACAGTACCCTAAACATAGCCCTTCACAGTACCCTAAACATAGCCCTTCACAGTACCCTAAACATAGCCCTTCACAGTACCCTAAACATAGCCCTTCACAGTACCCTAAACATAGCCCTTCACAGTACCCTAAACATAGCCCTTCACAGTACCCTAAACATAGCCCTTCACAGTACCCTAAACATAGCCCTTCACAGTACCCTAAACAATAACAAACTGTATGTTCTTCCTCAGAAATAATACCTCATTCACTGTAGTATGGCTTCAGGAGATTGCTCACCCAAGTAGCGACCACTCTCTGTTTCTGTAACAATCTTGAACCTTTTATAGTTAAATAAGTGTATAAAAGCTTGATGAACTCATTTTGCTTGTACTTCATCGCATGATACAGTTTCTAGGCTAACTCACAAGTCAACATTGCATTGTTTTTTGTCGTAAGAATAGCTCTTCAGAGCTCATGTTTTATGTTACAAGATACCAGAAAGAAACTTTGTATACGTGTATCTTGTTGCAATATACTAGGTGTGTTCAACATAAATGAGGCAGATTTGTGCCAACATGATGAAACTACAACCTTGGTGACTCTGAACCAATCACAAAACATTGGTGACTCTGAACCAATCACAAAACATTGGTGACTCTGAACCAATCAAACCAATCAAATTTGGACACTGAACCAATTAAAAAGAAACACTGGTGACTCTGAACCAATAAGACAACCATCCAATCATTCAATCTCAAAGACTGTGAACTGATGACAGATGGACTAACACATGTATCATGTTTTTTTGCTACTGAGACTTGAGAAGAAGTCGAGTGATAGTTATGCCCTATCACACTCTCCATTGTCACAGAAAGGTGTCAGCTAGTACGCCTCCCAAAAATTCAATACACAAACTTGGAATTGAATACCAGACCAAAGAGTTGCCCGACATAAATCTCGTAACTTGTCTGTGACACAATATTACCATTTGAAAAACACCAGGGTGTAACAACAACACAGGCAATGAAAGACATCGTACATTGATGCTATCTTTGTGAATGAAAAGATTACCTTCCACTTAGATCCCATCTTTCCCATTCACTCACAAAGCAGCGACAAAATTTGAATACAAAATTCAGAAAAGTCAAGATATCTGAATGTTGAATAATATTTGCTGATGTGAAAATTGGACAGATAGGAACTATTAACATTACCACATATGACACGGATAGTAGGGTTACCTAGTGTACTGTCACACTAGTGAATAGTGCTGCTCTCCCATTAAAGTCAAACTGACCTTTCTAACTACGCTGTCCTGATCAAACGATTCACTACAGGACAATACCATGTAGCCCGAGAATCCTGTTCAGACGATTAACTTATTTATAACCTCAAGTTATCAACCCGAACATTCTATGAATGAAATAAGAATTAGAGTACATTTTTATGACTCATTTTTTTCACTGTATGTATATGTGTTACCTTAAATACAGATTTAAGATAAAACCACGCTCAAAGCATTGAGAAGAATCAGACTCAAAGAATACACTGATCAGGTATTACCCACTGAAAAAACGTATCTGTGAGTTATCAGTTATACATCCCACTAGACAGGGCATTGGCGTGTCAACGGTGAGGGCCGCTCCGACATTACACCAATGACAGGTATTGGTACGGCAACACGACAGGTACACGTTACCTATCAATAGGTCTATCACTACTACCTACAGAGCCAATACAAGGTCTGATTACAGCACACCCAATCAAACAACTATCACATCGATGATAAGGCTCAAACACGTGGCTTACAACGATTTACTATCATTGTCATCAAATGGGAGAAAGATTGTGTTGATTTTTTTTAATCTGATAAAAAGGAGTAAAGTTTCTGTTTTTTTGATTTTTGACTTTCTTTTACGGTAGATACAGGATAATGGATATTATGAAGCCTTGTAGATAATGTGTACGTTACTATCTGATGGCTACGGATACTGTATCGGATATCTAGATCTTGGTTCACTAACGTTTGAGTATGATAAATAACACATCTTCTACAAAATCCTTTCTGTTTCATAAGGTATACAAGATAACGAATCCTAAAGAATACGTAAGTATATAAATGAGATTTTCAATCATAAATAGAAAAGGAAAAAATAAGAACCCTTTCCTCCGAGAATTAACAAATTATAATGTTCTATTTTACACCTTTTGAAGCATGTGTTCTTCAGCTGAAGCTGGCTTTTTTCATCCCTTTTTGAATCATGTTTTATTGAGCTGAAGATTTTTTTTCTAGTATCAGTGATCCTCTGCACCTAAATACAGCATTTCAACAGATGCTCCATATTATTTTCTACAAATCCTTGAACCTTTAAATAAATCCATCTAAAACAAGTGAGAATTTGCCGATCTACAGCCAACACTACTGTTATCCCTACATGAAACAGTGGAAATCAGCGGCTCATCGCCAGTGTTTCTACTTTAATGTGCAGCAAGCCATGGACACCCTACCCCTTCCCTGCTCCCGTACACTTGGAACTCATAACAATGATAATAAATTCTGGGAGAAAAAAACTCCACCAAAGAGAGATGAGAAAATGTATAGTTGAGAATCCTGTTGGTATCATGTGCTGACATCGACTGAACACATACAGACTTTTCTGTTAGACCAAAGGCCGTTCAGCTAATGTTTTAACATACTGCACTGCCAACAAAAAGATTTCACAATGCACCATGGAAAATTTTGACAATCTCCAGTTTCTCTCATCTTTTTCATCTCTATCTTTGAAAATATAAGTAATTTCAGGGAGCGTTCATGGTACAGACAAACGGCAAGCATGACCGAACATGAGACCAAACCAAGGAAAGTGCCCTTAATCAACAGGTATCCATCATTTTTATCAAAGCACTTTCACTTGCATTCTGAACTTGAACTGAAAATACAGCTCTTCAAGTACCAATTTATCAAGTAACTTGGCAGGAGTTGCAGACGTCACACCCACTGCAATCACTGCATGCTAAATGGAACTGCCAGAAAGGTCCTGAGGAGGCAATGAAAGGCTGTTCTGGGAGAATTCTTATATACCAAGACATGGGAGCAGTCTTTTACTGACGACAGACCTCTGATCATGTCCAATGTCCCAGGTATGGCATTCTGAACATCATAAAATGTGTTGAGCATGGAGTTAAGAGCTTCAACGTTAACCAATGTGTTCAATTTTATTATAGAAATTAGTGTTGACAATTGGTTACCGCTTGCCTACTGAATGACCTCATAAAAAGTAATCTGAACACTAAATTAAGTTATTAGAGACTTTGACATAAGTTAAGGATAATTCACTAATTGGTTTCTACAGAAAGAGAAAGTTATCTAGACATAAAAGGTCAATGTTACTTTGAGATTCAGAGCAAGGTTATCAGTTATAAAACCTCAAAGGTCAGGTTCCTGATAAAGAACATGTCCTGGATGATGAAAAGCTTTGTTATAAAATAAAAGGTCACCTTAATATGTAGTATCTCATCAAATATGGTCGTTTATCATTGAATCTGCAGGGGAGATAACTTAGATTATTCTCATGTGAACGAGTGAATAGAGATGAAAAGGGATTCTACCTAGATACTCCACCATTATATAGGTGAACAAAAAAAGATGTCCAAAGGGAAAAATATCCATTTGTTTCTTTATAAGTAACTGAAATGCACTAAGAGAATTGCTTCTGTAAGAATCAAGTGATTCATAAGCACAATTTTTATATCTTTTATAATACATTTATCTCCCCCTCCAAGTACAAACCACACAAAATCCACTTCATCAACTCCTATAGGAAGTAGGTTTTTTGAGCTATAAACATCAATCAGACTGTGATATCTTATAAGTGAGGTCAGGCAAGGTCAGATCACCGGGACAGAGGAAGGTCGGAATGCCCGGCAGGACTCTGGCAGGTCCCCTCTTCCCAATTCAACTCCCTATCTCTCTATAATTACCACACGCCCATACCTGTCAATAG